GGGGGGGGGGGGGGGGGGGGGATACAGAAACATAAACAGTCTAGAAGCTGGCTTTCAGAAGGCTAAAGTTCCAGTCAGAGACATTTACTAGTAAGTTGTTCATGTGGGTTGTCGAGATGCTATTGCCCCTTCTGATATCTTTGATTAATGTACCCTATCAAGGAGCATTCAGTAAGGCGCTTCAGGCTGGTCTCCTTTGTTAGGCTTTGCTCTATAACAATATTCAGATTGTTTCCTTGAATCATACATTGCTGAGAAGGAAGCAAAAATTAGCAATATAGTTATATGCTTTCGATTTATGTATTTTCAATTCAACTCAGTTTGGTCCAGAATGCTTGGGGAATGGGATAATATGGTAAACTGACCATTCTGGTTATCATTTATTTGGTGATGTAGTTACCATCAACAACATATGCTGATTACCAATTTTTAAAGAAATGTTAGAAGCAACAGTGATATCTTATGTTTCTTTTGCATTCCCCTTTCAAAGCTCATTTATGTACATTGTCACTTTATGATTCTTATAATAACTTTGTGAAGTAGGCAGTCCAACAAAAAACCTTTAGGAATAAAGTTATATAGAATATAATGTCATCTTTGCAGGAAGATTACAAGACTCGGCAGGGCTTTGGAGTTATCATCTGGAAATGTCAGTTGTCGTGGAAGAGTGTGCTAGTCATGGCTGATATAGAAGATTACTGCCTTTTCCTAAGACCTTTGGTATATATACCCAGCAAATTGCTGTTTGGAATATTCTTTTTCTAACCTGTGCACTTGGTCTTTGTCTTTGCAGAACATACGCAAGCACGGTCTGGTTATTTGAGGTTTCTGATTATTCAGAATTGGGATTATTAGCCTCTGGTTTCTATAAAAATCAACAGTGGACTATTTGGTAGTTCCCAAGCCCTGAGAGGTATTTTCCTGCAAGTCAAAGTCTAATTTGATAGTTGAGCATTCTTTTTTCCTGAGTCCCCTGTCATGGCTAGAATTACTGAGATGGCTTTTAGGTCCCTGACCCAAATTGGAAAGAGATTATAAGTCGTTGGTGGCAGAAAGGCTAGTGTCCTTTATTGACTGGGTCACAGTGGAGTGCCCAGAAACTGAAGAGGCAGGCATTTCAGAAATATGTTCTGGGGGTGGGGGGCAGCTAGGTTGCCCCAAATGTCAGAGACCCAAGGTGATCTGTCTTCGGATCAGCAACCAGGAGCCAAGGGGTCAGGGTGAAAGCTAACCACAAGGGCCTGGGTTTCAGTTTGACTTAGAGAGCAAGTGAAACAGAAAACTGCTGACAGCAGTAAAACCCTGGCAAGGGAGACCCCCTAAATTTATTATTCCAAGCAAACAAAAGCAAAACATAGTAATTGCCTCCTTCTTTCTCCCCTCGGGAATGAAATTGAGGTCACCTGAAGGAAGAGCCCATAGAGTGGACTTATTGGAAAAATGAGTGGAGGGCATGGGATTTGGGGTCTACCGGGGTTTGTATATTGCATGCCTCAGGCTTTGCTGGAATTTTCTCATTTTTCATTTTCAAGAATATATAAATTGGTCTCCGTGGTTAAAACATATATTAGTAGAGCTATGAGAAAGCCATTTCATGTTTACTCAGACACTCTCTGGTGAATAATTGAAAGCTTAATTCTCAAGAAATAATTTCCAAATCCAAATGAAACTTGTGAGTGGAACTGCCAGGTTATTAAAAACCAAGAAAACAGGTCTGTTCAATGGTACTAATGGCCACTTCTTTTCCCATTTTATGCAACACGATTAGGTGTTGTCTCCCTTGGCTTCAGCTTTGAGACAAGGAAAAATCCTTAAGAGATGATGCTTCGGCTGTAAAAAGAAGCAATATTTAACAGCTAAGTGTGAGATTTCTGGGTCAGTGTGCCATAAATCCTACAGTTCCAGAATTGCAAAGCTTTTTCACAGTTCGAAGCTTGACAGGTTGATTTCAACGAAAATCTCCCCTCCCCACCCTCTCCTCTATGGCTGTATCACACAGTGTCCAGATGTCTGGTTTCTCCCCTTTTAAAGGCAAACTAAACTGTTTTCCATATTGAATTTTTTCCCCATTGGACTGGCTTGCCTCTCAGAATGAACGGAATCTAGTCTTCATTTCAATCACCTGCTATAATTATTTTAATCTGATCAAATACTGATAATTGAAAATCTTCTAGCAATATTAGGCAGAGGCATCATTCTTAAGGTAAAATTTTAGTTTTGTTTGCATTTTAGGGCCATGTACTCGCATTCTGAAAAAATCTAGCAAATGCCAGACACTGCCTTGCTTGTAGTCTTTACTTTCCTGTCCTTAACAGCTTGTTGGGCACAGGCAGGATGCTTTATAGAAAGGGTTTTAGAATCCAGATTATGGCAAATCTCTTTATTTACCAGGATTGTGAGCTTGCTCTCTCCTCCCTCTGCCCGCCCCTCACCCCACAACACTCCAAGAGCCAAGTCCTTGGTATGAATTAATTAAAGGAGTGTTTAAAAATATCTCATTGCTCCATCTCCACTTGCTCCATCATTGATTGGAGGCAGATGGGCTGCATATTTGTCAGTAGAATAGAAAAGGACTAACATCCCGTAATAAATCTGTCTGGTTAGCTTTAAATGATGGCAGAAGAGACAATGGGCTAGCAGTATTAGAGGTGAATGAAGGTAGATCCTTAAGCTTTTAAAAAGAATGCCTCGTTTTCTTAGTGCTTTGGTTTTTTAAAGAATGTTGTTTC